AAAAATTCTTCGCAACTGATGATGGGACAGCAGTCCTGAAAGCTATTGTTATTTAATTTACATGAACAATCATTTTCACCACATTATAATTTTCAACTTATTATTTTTGTCAATTATTATAAAAATCCTATATTTGTATTTCTTACAAAGAAATTTGTAATTTAATAATATTGATTTTCTTCTTCGAAATCTACAAACAAATACATTTCTCCTATTTCTCCGACATGGAATCAATGTATTTTGTTGATGTTTCATTATGATAGAGGAAAGATAATTTAAAATCTTTATTGCTTAATCTTGAGGATGTGGGTATGGGCTTAGATTTGACTGCGACAGTTGTCATATTAGTGTACGCACCCGTTCCCCCACACACATTCTCAAGTCGCGAAAAAACATTTTCTGTCATTTTTGAATTCTCGCCATCTTATATGCTCTTAAAATCCTTTACAACCAAATGTAATGCAAGTATGAAGTAGAGCAAAAACTTCTGAGAGACGATAGTACAATTTTTTCATTCTCTTGCCAACGTGTGATCGGCAGAGGCTTCGTAGAACTTATCATCATAATCAGTGTTTGTCTTCCTTTCTTCTTTGCAATGAAGAAAGAAGAAGAAATTCCCTATCGCATCGACTATGCTCGTTCTACGTCTATAACGATACGAAAAATGTCTTTTTTTTCTTTTTCCTAACGCAGAACAAAAAACGCAGCATAGCCCAGCCGAGATAAACAGAAAAACAACACTACTCAAACTCAAACGTCAAGAGAAGCATAACAGCGAACATTTTTGCTACATTAAAATAACGAGTATCTTCGCACAATGAGCGACGAAAAACTAAATTCAAACTCGGTGGATATTCCTCTCCACGAGCGTAAGATTCCTTATCTACTCGATCTTTCATTTTTCTCTTCTTTTTTTCCAGCTTGCGGCTGTTTATGCGGAGCGTCTGGTTTCGAAACAACGTACCCACCTCGATTAGAAAATTACATCAGTCCCACTGACTTCGAAAAATCAATAACAAATATTAACAGCCACTATCCGAAATGTTTTCATCTATATATGGGTTGTGTAGCAATTCTTATTGTAATTGCGGGAGCCTCTTTTGCCGTTGGCATTGTTCTACTAACACAGATTAAGAATGTAAAACAAGACATGTCACTCATGTGTTTTGCAATTGTACTTTGTTTAATTGGAATATCGGTTTGCTGTTGCAGTTGTTGTTGCTTTTGTAAGCAAATAGGACGTACTGAACCGATGGTGACAGCAATTGAAGAAGAATCGAAAAAATATGCAGCACAACACTGTCGATGGCGTTTAATAGCGAAGAGAGATGAACCAGGCTGTTGTGAGTCTGAACGTGATAAAGTGAAGAAGTGGCATGTAAGTACCCTAATAAGACTACATGAGAAGAACTTTAATAACTTCTTTTTCTTTCGCACAGGTAATTATTGATCTTGATCAAAAGAACGAGAATTTGTAACCTGTGCTTCCAGTATACTTTCTTGTTTTCGCACTCACACCCAGCATCTAATCTCAGTTCACAACTTTGAAACTTGAACGTGCTTTTCATTATTCGCTATGATTTTCGAATCATATTCGCAAATTCAGAATAAAAAATTATCTAAGTCTGTGATTCTTCTCATTGAAGACCAATAATATTCTCACTAAACGTAGTCAGAGTGACATAGATCCTCGTTTAAAAGATGATAAATTATCATTTTTTATAACACAGATAATTTTACGTTAATTGATTTTTTGACGAATAAGAGATATAACTGTTCTGTATTCTACTTTATGTTATCCGATTTATACTTAAAGATCTAGATGTTTTTGATCTAATCATTTAATAGGTCTAAATTTCGTTTAGGATTTGAATGTGTTAGAAAGCGCATCGTAACTGCAATTTCGACTTTGCTCAAAAGTCTCATCACACTGCTTGAGTTATGCAGAGACAGATTTTATTCAAATAATCATAAGGGTGCGAAGATAGGAAATACCCACACAAACGTCACATTCTAGTATATTAGAACTTACTTTGTTCGAATAGACCCGTTAGAGGACATTATAATACATCAAAAATAGAAAAGCTTTACAACAATGTAGAAAGTGAATCTTCAATGGATTCCGACTTCTTCCAGAGATTCTCAGGATCCACGCTTTTTCTTTGCTGGTAAGACAGTATTAAAGTTCGTTATGTCTACTCTTCATTTTCTTTCAAGCTCCATCAGTTGAGTGAAACAAATAATTGAAAAGAGACTAATTAGTTGATTATTTTCAATAATAAAACTTATTTTCTAATTATATGAATAGTTTAGACACTGTTCTTAACTTGATATGATAGATACCTATGTTGTTTTCTAACAAGTTTTACAAACTCATCGATATATAATACAAAGCTCTATATTTGCTAAAAAACCGAAATTAATGTTTCAGAACGACAGACATTTCAAACTCAAAAACATTTTCCTCTCTGTATGTTTCAATTTCAATCTTATGAATATCTTAATTATGATCAGATTTTTTAAATAAACGAATGCTAATCGCAAATTTTCTGTACGACTATTTGTGAAAGTGTCGACTTCCTTTTCTTAAAACCAGAATGAAGTAATTCAATTGTTTACAAAAATAAGACGTTCAATCGAGTTCGCCAATAAAAAGTGATTTTTATAAACGTACTTCGTACAAAAACTTAATGGATGTATCTCATTCTAACAAATACAACTACTTTTCAAGAAGATTTTTTATATACACATTCATTTATTATTCATCATAAAAAAATAATTTAGTTTCTACAAATTAGTAAGACATTCTAAAGTACTACGTCTGAATATTAGAGCATGTCTTGACGTTTAATTCAATGGAGTATTGAAATCATATTTATCAAGATATTGTATAAAAGTAGAATTGAAATATCTGCGCATTAATTCACTACTCTTAATAAAAATTTAACATTATTAAATAAATCATTGTATGAAATTCAAGTTTTATTCAAACTAATAAGAAAAAAATCAAAATATTAAAAGAAAAACGTACAAAAAGAAAAGAATTAGATATATCAATAGATAGAATATTAATTTCTTTCATTTGACTGATACATTTGCATGAGATTAAGAAATAGAGATAAGGTATCATTATCAAATGATTGATTTCTCAAATGTTTAATTATCTAAATATAAAAGACAATTAAAACGAATTAATAAAAAATAAATATATAATAAACAAACCTCATCAGCATGTAAATATGTATAATCAATAAGATTATAATAAATTGAATCATCTAATTCAAATTTTTGATCAATACCCTAATAAATAAAAACAATTCATATATATTTATTTATTCTATATATTCTTACTGTATTTGTTGATGAATATTCCGATGATTTATTTTTATTAGTTAATGTTCGTTCTAAATTTGAATAATACAATCGAACACGTTGTATTTCATCAGCAAATAATAATGTTGAATTTTGTATATTAATACTGTAATTCTTATTATTTAATAATTCTATACATAATGAGCATTTCGATTCATTCTGTTGACAACAAGCACGTTGAAAAATCATAGCAACAATATTAAATGAACTATTTAAACATTTATCATTGGGTATATCAAATAAACAATTAAAATTTTGGAAAACATATGGAATAAAATGAGCATAGAATATATGAAAAAATTGTATATATTGTTCAATTAATTCACTTAAATATGTATCACTATGTATAAGATTTGTAAATAAGATTTCAATAATATTTATCAAAATTGAATGTATAACTGATTTTGTTTCAAATAAACGATAGGTTTCATTATGATTATTATCCATTAATAAATGACCTAATTCACCACCTATTTCTTCATATGTATGATTTAATAAATGAATATAACGTGTTCGATCTTCTTCTTTTAATGTAAAAGAATTTGTATCAGAAAATGGAGATGTTGACAAATAATTAAATAGTATTTTATCATCAGATGTTGATAGTGAACAATAATGACATGAAGATTGAAGACTATTTCCTAAAAAGACAAATATTAAAGATTCTCT